ACAATCTTTCTAGAGGCAATGGAAGAGCCTAGGAACACATGTTATCAGATACATTTTAAATGAGAGATGTTAAAGGATATTGAGCTTGAGAGATAATAATAAAATAGACATGTGGGTGAAAACTGGCTAGTCTTCAGAATGACTGGAATGTGGTGAAATTTAAATAAATAAGAAGTTTCTGAAAGTACTGGGTTGGGAAGAGTTGGCAATTATTGCTTTAGTAATACTGTAAACTCCCTGTGCTCACACAGACACAAGTGTCCAGGTAGGTAGTGGGAAAGGCAAAAGAAAGCATCTGTGTTAATGTCCAAGTCTTAAAATCCCACATTAATCCTATATCACAAAATGGCACTTATCAGATCTGGGCCTTGGATAAGGGGAGAATGAGTTGAACTTCCAGGCAGTGTGTATGATAGAGAGCTCCAAAGGAAGTCTATGACTCTAGAAGCACTGAGAGCCAAAAGTGAGGGTTTCATGTAGGTCTGTTTGTACCTGGTTAGATGAGATGTAAGGAGATGTAAGGCATACACACACACACACACACACACACACACACACACACATATTTGGCATTTAAATGGAATTACGTGAGAACAGGGGAACTACTCTCCCAGATACCATATTCTATCAAAGGAAAAGCCCAGGAATGGGTTATCTCTTTTTAACTTGTCAGTCAGTGGGATCCAATAGAATCTTCCAAGCATTATAGATTATTCATCATTGATCTTGTTTAACTTCCAGAATATGGTGGTAAGACTCTTTTCCTTGAAATATCACATACTTTTATCATAAAACATGGAAAAAATCAAGATGATATCCATTTGGAAACAGCATCCCTATTGGCTAGCTTTCTTAATGCTGGAAGTGTCTGTAAAAACTATTGGGAAAGAATATCAGCAAAATTACTTTTACTCACAATAAACCCTGTGAGCTATAATATTTACTCCCCTGTTAAAATATACCCACTGGTGTAACAGTGGCAGGCACATTGTGGGAGTAACCAGCTACTTCCTGCTTGAATTTAATGCTCAGTCCATAAGATGGAACTGAAGCCTGGTACTGTTAACTAGTCCCCAGACTAGTAACTGGTTAAGTCCTAGTGAAATTATTATTTTGCTAAATGGGTATATTAGTAAACAGCCCCCTAATTTCTAACCTTTATACTTACAGATTAAGTCATTTCTCAACCCTAGATGTAGAGGCTTCTTTTATCAGTAGAGTGTGATACAGAGACCAACAAGTGGCCATAATGCAGACTGTAAGGGCCTGTGGAGTAGCCACATTTGAATATGACAGGTATATCACATCCCCTCCCTACAAGACTCTGAGGTCATCATGAAAGACGGGACAGAAATAATGTAATACGACATCTGTAGGGAAAAAAATATTTCCTGAGCATGACAGGGCCATTGCATACATGACTCACTGTAGCTGTGATCCCAACATAATGGCTACATAAAATCAAACAACCCCAAATCTCAGGATGTATGGGGAAGAAGCTCATGTAATTCCATCACTAGCTGAGAAGTTATTGGCAGCCCATGGTTGCAGGTAGAACAAGACTCAGTTTTTGTCAGAGATGTGATGCTGAAGAGGCTGCCCTTGCCCAGTATATGGTCCTACACTCATGCACATTTAGGCAGCACTAAGTGGACTCGGTGGGTTTATAAAGAAAGTTTATAAATTCATGAGAGGAAATAGTGGAAAGATGGTGTAGGAATTGGAGGGGAAAGTTGGATGGTAGATTTGAATAGATCACATTATATGGATGTAGAAAACTCTCAAACAACAAAAAAGAAAAGAAAAGAAATTTATGAGAACTAACTTATTCTTTCCTCATTAGTCTTTTCATAGACGTCTCCAGAGAATTATATAATGTTTTCCCATTTCAGGTGTCTAATTTTATTCTGCCCCTGAGATTGATTCTTAAGATTATACTCTGTGAAAGAAGAACTCACAGTATTTACAACAGATTTGTGGCATGCACAGGGTTAACCTAGTGGTGCAGAGGGACATTGCACTGCTCTGTGTGAAGCTGTCCCAATCCACTCTTCACTTCAGCATCTCCTAAGGGATCAATCTGCCTTCTGAACCATTGCAGTCTCCCGAGCATTGTACTAGCACATTACTAAGGAGCCATTCCTATTTACTTGAAACTGTGTGTGATGCTTGTTGAAACGGTTACTGCCTGGTACTGTGAATTGTATGAAGATGCCAGAACTTCTGATCTCCTGTAAGGATTTTTCCTTCCCTGGATATTTATACATGTGTGTATGCTTCACAAATGAGACTGACCCCAGGCAGAAAGTTGAGCACTCAAACAGAAATACAGAGTTAGCAACTGTTGAAGAAATGTTGGAGTTAAATAAACAGAGGTGGGTGTATTTTATATGTGGGTAATGATACTATATTAAGATAAAATATGCATTAGATACAAACAAAGCTATAATGGAAATGCCACGGTGATCAAGTGAGTCATTCTGTTCCCCAGGGAGAGGTTCGGACAGCTAACTGTACTCAATGACTTAGAAATGCAAAACATCAGTGTCCAGGATTCCTGAAGAGACATAGGAATTTTTGTTTAGAAACAGACAGGTAATTGTACCAACAGGAATAGTAGCACTTACTACTGCCTACATCCTGAAGTTGACATAGAGAATTCTATTCACAGTAAGCCTGGGACAGAGGTGACTCTTTAAGGTGAGGGGAAGGCAAAGCAGATCACACTGACAGTATTGTCTGCATGTCTCAGCTTCTAGGGCACTGGAAACAATCTTCTCTCAAAGGAAGTCATTTCTTTCCTAATTCCTCATTCACTTAGCCTTTGTGTAAGTTAATTACTAGGACTAAAATATAATTTATAATATTTTATATTAACCAGGAAAAGTGTGGATTTTTTCTACTCTTTAGAATTTTTTTTTTGCTAAATTGTATCAAAATATTTCTAGGTGAGGTAATTTGCTTCTGACAACCATGACTTTATACTTGCTGTTAGTATCCTTTCAGTTACAATCAGCTTCTTAAATTTTTGATTCTCCCAGAATCAGAAGTAATAAGTGAACTTTACTTAAAACTCTCCCAAAGTAAAAGTCATGTGAGAATTTTAAAATATCAAATATCTAATAAATAAAACAAAAACATTTTGTAATTTGAAAGTTCAATATTTATGCTTATGTCTTAGTTTCTTATGTCTAGCACATAGTTATTGCAACTCTACATTATTGAATACTAGAAAAAATTTAAGCTATGATATTTCCAATCTTTGAAAATGTTTCATTTACTTACTAAGAATATGTCAGTGGAACATTTGCATCACCTTGAGAGTAGCGAAAATTTTTAAGAAAAATAAGGTTAACAATTTGATCCTATTGGCGTATTATTTGAACATTCAGACAAGATTTCCAGGAGAATGAGTGGATGAAATTTTGTCACAGAGTACAATTTTGGTGCTAGGTGGAAACTAGACTCAAGGAAGAATGGCTTGGGATAATTATGAAACTGAAGGAGGTGATGAGAGGAAGAGTTCTAAGGAGCAATTCTTGCTGTTGACACAGAAAACATGAATTGTTCCTCTTTGATCATCACTGTCACCAGAAATGGTGGGTGTCAGAGCTGGAGCAGGTGGTCAGTCTACAGTGCTGCAAATAAGATTAGACTTATTTGCCATTAATGTGGTTATATACAACAATTCTAAATATTTTAGTGCATAACTGGAATAAACCACCATTTAAATATATATTTTTATTAAATTTTTGTGTGTTTCATACTTGGTCCTCTTTATATCCCCTTCCTACTCTGGATCCTCCTATAGCTCTTCCCCACTGGATTTCATGCATTTTTATTTATATTAAAGGCTTATCAATTAAAGTTAATGTCTTCTGAAGTCCTTCAGTACAAAATCATCCACTGGGGTCTTCCTTAAAGGAGATCAGCTCTTCCTCACCCTGACCATTACTTTTTTATATGCCTGTACTAACCTGTCTGTCATAGCATATTAAGGAACTAACCTTAAGTAAAAATTATGTCACTGTTTTAGACCAAGCTGTTTAGCACTGAGTCCAGAGAAAACTGCAAGAGAATCACTATTCCTAGCCTTCCAAGTGACCCAAATAACCTCCACCAATAAGTTGACAGAAATATCAGTGACAATTCCCTAAAAGTATAGATTCAAATGGCCTAATTTAGAAGTTCCCTATGCCTCAGTACTTGTAGAAGGAAGGCAGCCTATGACCTGACTGTTTAGTCAGCAATGATTGCATTGATCTATCCCCTGCCCCCACCTTCCAGGCAAAGCAATTAGAAGTGACAAAACTGCTTTTGGTCACTTTGTGTTTCTTCAGTCTCTCACTATTGACTTTATCCATGGAAAGCTCTGTCTATCTTACACAATGAAGGCTTACACAGGTCTAAAATGGAACATGTGCAATGTGTCCCTTGACAAACTGAAACATACTTAAATTAACGTTTTAGAATAAATGATTTATGTTTATAATTTCATATGCTTTGTTCTTATCAGATTCTGTTAAATGCCTGAGCATCTACTTATGTTACCCTAAGATAAGAATATAAGTTTAAAAATATAGAACGTTCTAACACATGTTAAAAAAAATCTGTTTCTGCCTATATTGATGGTTGTGTCTCCTATTTTCTCTGTTGAAACAACCAACTTTAACAAAGATATATTTTATATTATTACTGTTTTGCTTCTAGAAAAGGAACATTTTGATGGAAATTGAAATAAGCTTTATAATTGAGGGAAAACTGAGTTAATAAATTCAATTTCCTTTGCAGATTGGGATGCTGATTCTTAAAAGATGAAATCATATAACAGAGCATGTACAGACCTTTGCTGAAGTCGGTCCTTCAGGGAAGGTGATGTCCAGTGATTCTGGATTCCCTCCACATATGACCACAGGGTGTCATTTTGCAGTGCTATTTTCTAACTACAGAGTCCTTTCCTTGATACTTGGTAGTAAACATGCACCATCTTGAGTTTTAACATGGCAGATAACACTACATACAACCACATTTCATATTTTTTCCTGGTTGGTATTCCTGGGTTGGAAAGTGTTCACTGCTGGATTGGCATCCCTGTCTGCCTCCTGTTTGTCCTGACCCTGCTGGGAAATAGCATAATCATAGCTACTGTCAAAGTAGAACCATGCCTCCACCAACCTATGTACTTTTTCCTGTGTATGCTGGCAATGAATGACATGTGTCTTGCGTCTTCTACAGCTCCTAAGATGCTTGACATCCTCTGGTTTGATGCACATTGGATTGAGTTTGGTGCGTGTCTAACACAGTTGTTTTTTATCCACACACTTTGCATTATGGAGTCAGCTCTCCTAGTGACCATGGCGTATGATCGCTATGTGGCTATTTGCACCCCACTGCATTATGCAACCATCCTGACCACATCCATGGTGACTAAACTCGGTCTAGTTGGCCTGAGCCGAGCTGTGCTCATGGTTTTGCCATGTCCTCTTCTCATTAAGAGGCTGCCGTACTATACAAAATATGTCATCCATCACACCTACTGTGAGCACATGGCTGTGGTGAAGCTTGCCAGTGCCAAGACACTCATTAACAGAGCATATGGGATCTCAGTGGCCCTGTCAGTGATGTCAGTAGACCTAGTGCTTATTGCCATGTCCTATGTAAAAATCCTCCAGGCAGTGTTCCGGCTCTCTTCCCAGAATGCCCGCTCTAAAGCGCTGGGCACCTGTGTGTCCCATGTCTGCACTATCCTTATTTCCTACACCCCTGCACTGTTTAGTTTCTTAACTCACCGCATTGGTAAGAAGGTCCCTCCAAGTGTCCACATTATCTTTGCCAGCGTGTACCTCCTAGTGCCTCCTGCAGTTAATCCTGTGGTTTATGGGGTGAAGACCAAGCAGATTCGTGAACGAGTGGTGGGTCTTTTCTTTAACACAATAAACTTTCTGAAAGGTAAAACGTTATCCTAAAACTCATTTTAGAACATTCTGACTTATGTAATCACAGTGCATTTATATTATTTAAAATCTGTCTCAAACTTATAGTCTCCTTTAACTTATAGTCTTAATGGAGAATATTCTGTTATATCTCTATATGTACTCAATTTTTATTTTCATATAAAATATTTATAGAAATATAATGGTCACTTTTTGCATGTTTCTGTGCAGTTTCACATTTCCATCGCTAATGTATCTATAGCTATATATGTTTATGCATCTTTTTTCCACTCTACTGATTTATCTATCTGACTGTCTCTATAGGAATATTTATTTAGCTGTCTATATATTCAGAGGAAGCTAAAGAAAATATTCAAATTATATTTAAGTTTATTTCTAAAATATAAAAAATATTGAAATAATGATACCCATTCTTATAACCACAAAATCAGTTTAAAAGAAAACTTAAACCAATGATTTGTTTTTGCTGTAAAAGGTCATTATATTTCAAATTTCTGCCTCAGAATTGGTATTCCAGAGTTACAGAGAATCATCATCTATATCAGCCTTCCTTCAACAGGAAAAATGTTTATATTACATACTTGAACCATATTAAGAAAGAAAAATCATCAAAATAGAATAAATTGAGCTAAATTACTTGGTTTTTCCTATTTATAATTTAACATAAAACACATTAGTCAAAATATTCGTAATCACAACTTCACAGGTAATAAGATATGAATAAGAGAATTAAGAATTACAAATTATTCGATGGCTGGAGAGATTGCTCAGCAGTTAGGACCACTGGTTGTTCTTACAGAAGACCCGGGTTCGAATCCCAGCACCCACATGGCAGCTATCATCTGTCCGTAACTCCAGTCACAGGGGATCTGACAGCTTCCTCTGACCTCCACGGGCATTGCACAACACTGGTACACTTACCTACATGCAGGCAATACACACATACACATAAAATAAAAATAACTGAAAAATTAAAAAAAAAGAATTACAAATAGTTCAAAGAATGAGAAGGAAGAACCCTTATCTGACACAGACACTGAGTGTGACACAGAGCAATAATTTTTGAATTAGATCAGTTCTACATATATATTGATTTCTCTAGGGCAACCACTAAATATTTTAAAGGAACATCAATAGAAACCAATTATTGAATTTTCCAAAATGCTCCATTTAATCTAGAAAAGACCACAATATGTTGAAGAAAAAAATAAATGCATTAATAGAATCTAGTTATAAACAGGGCAGACATTGATTTAGGTATAAGAATAACCACAATTAATATGAATTGTCTCAATATGCAAACAAAAGATAAAAATTTAGAATGTATAAAACTGGAGCTGGTGAGATGCCTCAGTGGTTAAGAGCACTGGCTGGTCTTGCAGAAGACTCGGGTTCAATTACCAGCACCCACATGGTGACTAACAACCATATGAACAATCTTCCTTAACTCCAGTTCCAGGGGATTCAATGTCCTCTTCTGACTTCCATGGGCACTGCTAGACACAGGAGCACCTACTTATATTCAGGCAATAAGTTTTAGAGCATACTAGATTACAGAGTATGTATCCCTGGATACAACTCCTATATTAAACTTCACCCACCCAGGTATTGGGGACCATTAGGGAAGAGGGGGTAAAGAGATTGTAAAAGCCTGGGTTTTGTCCAGAATATAAGGAAACAGAGGCTTTCAGGCAAAAAGAAGCTTCTTTGATGAGGGTGAAAGTACACTACTCCGTGTATAAGAGGGTGCATAAAATTTAGAATAAAGTAAGAAGTTTTGTTGCTATAGAGATGTGATGAAAATAGGGTTTTCTCTAGGATCTATTTGACTATGTTTACACTACTGCACATGAGGAAGTTTCAATTCCAGTTAGACAGCTGTTAATTACTCTCAAGAAAAAGGTATCACTAATGCAGAGACCAAGAGGCCACAGGATACATATCCCTGAATAAAACATCTATTTCAAACTTCTTCCTCCCAAGGCTCTGGGATCATTGTGGAAGAAGAGGCAGAAAGATTGTAAGAGCCAGAGGGGTAGATGACCCCAAGGAAACAGTCTTCCAGGCAACTGGTCATTTACTCACATGAACTCACAGTAATGGTTACAGAATGCACACGTCCTAAACAAGCTCATTCCAGACAAAACCCAAGCATAGACATGGGGAAGTGGGTAAGGAATCCCAATCCAGTGTAAGGAACTTTTGGTAATTGATGGCTGCTGGGAGGGGGAGAGATGGTGTCTTACAGGTTTGGGACTCTTGGTGGGCCCAGTGAATAATTCCAAAATGAAGGACACTGGGGACACAATTCATACTCTATAAGCCACTACATGCGTACACAAACACACACACACACACACACACACACACACACATATATATAT